TACTATAACGCCGGTTCGAACTTTAGTTCAAATTTTTACGTTGAAATATCAACAAACACTCATAATCCAGTTCACGTAATACCTTTTTGACACATGATTTATAATACTTGTTTTAATGAAACAAGTTCGACCGTTTCAGGGGTGGGTAACATTAGGGCTGTTTTTATATATTTTGGATTTTATTATTTTTTTTTTTTTAACGGAAAATAGATTTAAAGCGAACCTCCTCAGGTCATTAATTTATTGACCGGGTGAATACTTTGTATGGTAATATAAGAAATAACTTTTTATCATAGTGCTAACCATATCCGTAACAATTTCGTTACTAAAGATGATTTTTTAAATTTGAATTATACCATATTATATAGTTTGTATTGTAAATACGTTATTTATACGATAAATCAGTATTCGACTTCTACAAGTGACCTGTGTAACATGAATTTAGGGAATTTTAGTATTTTTCCCCCAAAAATGCAGACGAAATTTTTCACAATAACCAAGAAAAATGTTTCACATTGAAAATACATGACATTAAAGTTATAAAAAAATATGCAAAGCTAATTAATTTCAATTAATATTTGAATGAATCCGACCACAATTGCATTCAATGCATCAATTCATTTCAAAATTTTGGAATATTTTGTATAGTGTGGTTAAATTTGTTAAATCGTTTTTATCGTTTAATTAATTATTAAGTACAATTTCAATAAAAAATCGAAAATAATAAGACCAAACGATGCCATTATTGTTTAATATCTCCACTGGAAATCAATATATTTAAACGCAGATTTTTTACATTACTAGTATGGAAATTCTGATTGAATAGCATAAAATTCAATTTTTTTTTTTTAAAAAATTCAAAAAAAATTTTTTTATGCATTTAAGAATTTTCAATTTATAATATAGCCATTTTCTTGAGCATACTTTTTAAAACAGTTCAAAGAAAAAAATATTAAAATTGAATAAAAGTTGACCAAGTTAGAGCAAGTTATGTTTTTGAATAATTATAATAATAGTTGTTACCTTGCAAAACACGAATTGCTCGATTTAATCAATCTCGATTGGAACGCTGATTTTTTATGGCAATTTGTAAATATCTAATTATTAGCGGAGCTTTTAGGAAACATTAAAATTAGAATTTATATAATTTTTTTAAATACTTGATTGTTAATAGAAAAAAAAAATATTTTATTATATAAAAACGAAAATAATACATTACATTTTTTTTATAAATGTTCAAAGTGACCTCCATTATTTGTAACACAGAGCTGAAGTTTTTGGACCCAAACATTTTTAAAATTTTCTAATGTCTCAGGTAAAATGTTTTGAATATTTTGTTCAATTTTGTCACGAAGATCAAGCAATGAACACGACGGATACACAAGATTTTTCAAATAACCTCATAAAAAAAAAAAAAAATCCATTAGTGTTAAGTCGAACGACCTAGGTGGCCAAAGCACTGGATTATTGAAATGTGAATCAATTAATTTTTTTGTTATAATTATTCAACAACATAACTTGCTTTAACTTGGTCAATTTTTATTCAATTTTAATAATTTTTTTTTTTTTTTTAATTTTTATAAAAAATATGCTCAAGAAAATGGCTATCTTAAAAATTCAAAATTTTTAAATGCATAAAAATTTTTTTTTTGAAATTTTTAAGAAAAAAAAAATTTTATTTTATGACAATCAATCAGAATTTCCATACTAAGTATTGTTAAAAACCGTATTTAAATATATTGATTTCTCGTGGAGATATTAAGCGTGATACGGGACTTATGAAATATACTGTATAATAAATATTATTGTTTTATTTGCTTAAATAAATTAAGTTATATGTTAATAACTGTTTATTAATTCAATCGCATATTATAAAAGTTAATTTACTTTTTTTTTTCTATAGTTACCAAATTTAATTTAAGACCAGATAAGCAAAACTTATATATGGTTGAATATATTCCATCAGAACTTAAATATTTTCTCTGATCATAATTCCAAATAAATAAATTAACGATTTATCTGGAACATTAAATGTATGACGCAAAATAATTATATTTAAAATGTCTTATAATTTTGAAGAACTTCTATGATTGAATATTAATAATATTGTTGACATTTTAAATCGCTTAACAACAAATCAAATTTTTAATTTACACGTTTTACTATTTCCTAGCTGAATAAATAATTTAATTAGGTAATTAAAATCAAATAAAAATCATGTATACAATTTAAGATATTCCTTGTATTACATTTTCAAATTATTTGATATCTGGGAATAATTATGCCTTACTAACATATCAAATAATATATTTCACTAGAATTGGATTACTAAAATTTGATTGATCCAAACATAAACAATGCAGATATATATAAATTAATTCAATATTAACTAATTTTGTGTTCCTGCAAAATAAATTTTAGATTATTATTATATATGCGGTAAATATGTATTGTCATTATAATTATTGAATCAACATTCTAAAATTTAAACAAGTGTATTTTTCCTATTTTTGGTCATAAATAATATTACTTATCTAATTTCCTATCTCGATCATCATACGTTACCAAAAAACAGATTATTAATTATTGATTTAATTTCAATTGCAGGAAAGCTACTGTGCTAGGTATTGTTATGCTTATAAGACTATAAATCGTAAATAAGTGTGGTACAGTAAAGTTTGTATAACCCCCGTGAAAAGTCTCACAGACGTATGAGCTTATATTAAAACCCATATTTCACCACCATTTGAAAGTCTTTGAAAGTCTGAAAATAATTGATGATGTAATAAGTAGACGTTATTAAAGTATTAACTCTTTGTATTACTCAAATCGCTTACAACGTTGAACAAATAATATAATATATTCATAATTATATCATTAAGTCTAAACAAAACAAATATGTTATGTTACTAATAACCATGTACGGATGCATTTACAAGACTTATTCATTTTGTATGATTTGAATACTATTAATTATATATATAGTATTATAATAAATTATAAACCGTAATAGAAACTACATACGAACTGAATGCAATAAAATTACTTGGTTAACCGCTGATGAGTATTAATAAACGCTAAACCATTTAGATACAAACATTTATGAATTAAATATAAAAATAATACGTGGATTATTTCAATGAAGAAAAAGGTTTAAACATGATATACATTTCAATATTTTTTTTTTCGTCCATCTAAGTGGATATACTCGCACAGAATCAGATGGCAATTTTTTTCCCGCAGTATATTTGATTCATAATCAATGTCGCGAAGATTCATTCGAAATATCAAAAACGAAATAGATCGAAGCACAGGTACATCGTCAAGGGGGGGCCTTAGGGGGCCTGGCCCCCTAAGAAAAATCAGTGGCCCCGAACTGGCCCCTTGATTTTGATTTTTAAATATTATGGCGTTTAGTTGTCCCAAACCGACTAAATATTGAATGTATATTCAATATGGACGATTGTAAACTCCGCTAGAATATCGGTTTAGATAAAAAGATAATAAAAGGTCTATTTCGCCAGTTATTTTTTCTTACCTGTAATGGGTTTATGTAAACTCCTCTAGTTTTTTTTTTTTTGTTTACCTGCTCAGTGCTCACATTGCCACGTGCCTTCTCACATTAATACGTTGACATCTGTTGCGATGTTGTGTATTGAAATTGTTAAAATTATTGTCATGGTTCGATTCATTTCAAGGTGGATATATATCCACATTGATTCATTTATTAATAATTTTATCTTCATATTATCTGGAATTAGTATTTTCAATGATGATATCGGCAGTAGGTAAGGTGTACGTAAAGTATACTATGACGAACATAATCATTTGTAGTCTGCGTGTCTCCGTGTATACTTTACATTGAACGCTAAATGTGTCGCAACAAAGTAATAATATAAAATTAATTACTGGTCAACGAGGCAATTTATTGGTTTTATTTAACAACTACAAATATAACCAAAATATAAAATATACGTCTGGTGAAATAAAATGGAGGTGTGATATAATATAATATTCACTTATTATTACTTATTACTTTAATAATATTTCATATTAATTTTATACTACTAGTCGATTTTCTTCACTGGCGGAGTTTACATGCGCCCATTCCATAAAATTAACGATGGTATAACACGAATCCAATTCTGAAATCCTATCTTATAAATGTTCGTCACTTGACAATTTGAGATTAGAGAATAGTACGTGTATTGATAGATTGAAATCTAGGAATTCCAAATACGGATATCGAACGGACATTTGACAAACACAACTACAGAAAGGGGCCAAAAAATGTTGGCCCCCTTATAGAAATATGTCTGATTACGTACCTGTCGAAGTAACACATCAATAAAAATTACGTTCGTAAATAATTCGTGTGCGTACACGTCTTGCGGGTCAACAATTAGCGTTTTGGAACGTTTCAAAAACCCAAGGTGGTAGAACTCAATCGTTCGTAAGTATGCGATTACATTTTTTCGCCGACACTGAAATCCCGCTGTTCGCAATCAATAACGATCGATGCAATGCACACGTTCAGCGGATTCGTATCCGAGTGCGAAAAGTATCGTTGGAAATGTGCAACAGATCTATTAATTATTGAATCGGTAATAAAATATTTTTTTAACGTCGGTCCTCCGAATCGTTTCTGATTACGAGTGAATCACGAAAAATTATCGTAACACAATGTTGTATGCGTGTTCAAATAATTGCCGCATGTGTTGCGGACGCGGATGTACTGCTGTAATTTTGGGCAGCCAAACGGAGGGCAAAATAGGATGTACCGATTGAGTTTCACATTGGAAAATTACGGATGGATGTAAAATACACACACGCACCGCAGCCGATGGTTTTTGTCTTAAAAAAAAAAAAAAAATAAATAAATAAATAAAAAAATAATACACTGTTCTCCGACCGCCGGGAGGGGGGACACGTTCAAGGGAAAGTCTTCTTGGCGCGCACTTGGCACGGCGCAGGTCATCAACTATAACGGCACCTTGTCCGGTATATAGCTCTTCTAAGTTTAAACTACTCTTTTAGTCAATCGCTGAAGCTCAGCACGCGCATTTAAGAGTTGGCTGACAGTGTTCGGTGTTTGTAAACTCCGGTGCGTCTGTAACACATCGTGCGCGTGTGCCATAAAGTGTATCGAGTTATCATTTTTCTTCTTCTCCGATTCGCGACTGCTGTTCGGATCGTAAGCCGAAAACCGATTCCGTGGTGCGAACATTTGTCGTCAAGAAGACGTTTATTTTAAATAATTATCAAAGGTCAGTGTTTAATAATATTACGTTTAAAATAGAAACCATTCGTACTTTAATATTTACCTACTTACACGTTGATCACGAATGACCGACGACAACAACGAAAACATACTATTGCGAAGGATTAAACATTGTTTTTACGTATCGATTGACCGAAACACTAAATGTTTTCGGTTTGAGACGAAAAACACATAAATAAATATATATATATAAATGCGTATTTTTTTTTTTTTTTTTTTTGAATAAGACCTATTGACTCGGATTGAGAAATTTTCCCTAAACATTTTAGGATGAATGCGATCCGGAGTCAGAAAGATTCTAAACTACCTGTGGATACCACAATCTCCATAGTTAATGTCCCTAATGAGTACATTGAAGTCAAGTCGCCTCCTTCTCGCAATCTATCGGTGAGAATATTACCATTTCCTCCACTTAGGGTTCTGGGATTGCACAAATACAAACGCTTTTCCGGGGCTTTTCCGGGTCATCGTTGTGTAGTATGGTATCAAAAAAACAGAAAGCGCTTATGTTTTCGGCTTGGTTATTGTTCATTTGTTTTTTGTTTTTTTCCGAATCAATCGAAATGTATATGTAAATATGTGTACATAAAGATTGACGGGAAAAAGACAAAAACATCAGTAGACGCGTAGTGTAGTATTTTATAGTAGGTTACACAATGTGGTGGTTCTGCTGGTTCGTTCACGGTGCTCAGGTTCAAGGTGAATATAAAATAATAAATGTATTGGTTTGCTGGATTCTCCGATTTTCGGAGTCGGTGGTTCATGTAGGCCAGCGGCGCGTTTTCGGGTGACAGTTAAATCCTAACTTGTAAAAATCGTCTGAAAAAAAAAAAAAGATCGAAGCCCAATGACGGATTACGCCGTCACACGAACCGTCGGATAAAACCGAATACTTCCGAATCAGCGTTTTCAATATTCACACGTGCAAAGTGTTGGAAAAACCGTTGACGGAACACGCTTGAAAATGTCAATGATTTGAGATAAACTCTTTATAAATCGTTTCCACGACGTACCGCGTCTTCCTTTTCTCTTTTTTTCTCTTTATCTCTCACACTCTCCTCTCCTATCGCTCTCGTTCGCTTTTCGTACGTTTTCGGTCCTCGGTCTCGGCTGTTTTTCTGCCTTTTTTCTAATTTTTTGTCGTCTTTATCGACATTAACTCCTCTTCCGATCCTCCGAAACGGTGACAAGGAGGAGCGCGCACGTAAGATTAGCGTGTGCGTTGACTTATGGTCGTTTTGCAGATGATAAAATGGATACTGATCGTGAGCCTGGGGTGCTGCGCGCTGATGTACAGCGCCAGCTCGTCGCCCATCGTTAGCTCTTCGACGTCCGAGCCGGAGCACCTGAACGCGGAGTCCGCGGCGCCCGAGACGTCCGACAAGCTGGTGGCCGCGTCCCCGGACAGCGGCCGGCAGTCGGCCGAGACGGCGGCGGCCGCGCAACCGGCGCCCGTGGTCGAGTCCGTACCGGTGTCCGCGCCGTCAGCGCCCGGGGCCGTAGCGCCGGAAGCGTCCACCGGCGAAGACGAGGACGACGACGACGATGACGACGACGACGACGACGACGAAGACGAGGAAGAAGACGTGGCCCCGCAACCGGCCAGCGCGAACACCGTGAACGCGGCCACCGGCGAGGTGTCCAATCCCGGTTCGGCCGCGCCCGCCGCCCCGAGCTCCGGCACCACCGGCAGCAGCGACGACGACGACGACGACGACGAGGACGAGGACGACGATTACTTCGACCGATTCTTCGAAGACATCCTCGGAGGTCAGTGTTGTCCGCGAGGACTTTAATCTTTTATCCACACCGCACGATCGCAATAACAATGATCCATCATCTCATGTTTTAACATTTTTCTGCCGTTGGTCGGATCTGATTTCTTCCACTATCTTTATCGATAAATTTTTCATTTTGCATTAGACACACGCGCGCGCACGCATTTACACGTGGGAAAAGAGCAGTTTTTACACATAACGTCCGGTCTCTCTCTCTCTTTCTCCTAACAGCTCGCCACGTATACACGTTCATTCGGCGTGCGTAAAATACGACTTTGTTATTGTTATCGTTTTCTCGTTCGCTTTAAGGTCGACGAAGGGAGGGGAACTAAAAATCGGCCGATGATATATATTTTTATTTTACTTTTTTTTTTTTTTTTATACCCATTAATATACCGTTTCTCGATATCGATCCGTGCTAGCGCTGTACAACAATGGCACGTAAGGTCTACGCGCTTTCCCGAAAACCTGCGTACCGATAAAAAAGGGAAAAAAAATACAATTGGACCGCAGCAATGTATATCGATCAAAAAACGCGTTGTGCGCGCACACGCTTTTATTCCTTGTTTCTGCAATACGTACACAATACAGCGTTTTCATCGCGGCGACAATACATAGTCGACAGCTGTCGCGGCTGCTGATTATATCCATACGGGGTTCCGTTTTCGGTTTCCGGTTTGTCGAACAATCTTCCTGACCGCACGCAAACTGAATCGATCACCGTACGATACTCGACGAACGATATCCCGCGCACGAGTCGGTACTTAGCGGACGCCCAACATATCCAGGACGTTCGAAAAATCCGGCCGATAAACGAAAATCAAAAAAAATATCATTTCTCACGCCCCCTCCCCCGATTTCCCTGCACCGTACCGCCAACGGTCGATGCGATTTCGCACGTAGAAAATCCCGTTCGTGTCACGATCTTCATTGCGCACGCGTCAATATGTCCATCCGCATGGCGGACAATCGCAATTACATCTCGGGGCAGTGGTACGCGGCTGAAAAAAATCGCCGTTGTTAATATAATATGTATTATTTGCTTTTTTAATTTTTTCTTCTATTTCTTCCACCTGCTCGCTTTGCACACACACGCGATAACGGTGAAACGATAAACAATGATCGATACTCGATCGTTGACACCAAAAATTATCACAAAAGCACTATATACATACACATTTATATATAGATATATACTTATGTGCGTACACAAAAACAGTATATATATATTATGTAAAAACATTACCAAAACGAATCGCAAACAGCGAACAATGCAAAACTGTAAACATAAACACACAACAATTATGTTTTATAGTGATTGATTTAATTTGCTTTTCACACTACTCATCGTTTCACATTACAATCGTCGCAGGACTACCGTAGTAACGATATTGTTTCGTACTTTTAACCATCGTGCACTACCGTCTCGTGACATTTCACAATTCATCCGAACCCCACACCGTCATCTCATTACCTTTGTGCATCACAGTCGAAATCCGCTGATGATATGCGCACGCCGAGCTCACAGCCAAAATTCGTCCCCGTTATCGTACAGGCGGCGTGTTTATCGTCACAGTTCCTCTCGTTTCCCGGAGCTCCGACGCATCCGTCGACGACGTTGGCGAGGACAAATTTTGGTTTACTTCGATCGCTATTTTTATGTATTCTCCCGCACGTGTAGCATGTCGCACGCGTATTAATTTACGTTTAGGACATTTGGAATCACCTATGATGACACGAGTGTAATTTTGGCATTGTGTGTCTGTTTGTTTTTTTTAGGTTGATCGAACCCGATCGACCGCGGGAGACTAACAATTACAGAAACATAACATCAAGATACGACAATATATACATTTAAAACCTGTGTGTGTATACACGTACTTGTATATGACATGTGAAAAACAACATCGAGAAACTCATCTCACTACTTAACGGACTCGATCAAAAAAACACTGATATATACAAAAAAAAAAAAAAAAAAAACATAGATTTAAGAATGTAAAAACGAAACTTATTTATTTAAAGTTTTTATTTATTTATTTATTTATTTATTAATAATTTATTTTAGCTATTAGAATTTCCGTATTTCAACGCTATATTGCACTTTTTTTTTATACCTGCATGTGTATGTGTATATAGATATATGTATATATATATATATATATATATATATATATATAAATATGTATATATATATATATATATAAATATATATTTATTTACGATAATTTGTTACCAACTAACAACTTACGATAGTTACGAATACCAACCTGATATATTTATATAATGTATCATCCGTTAACAGCCGAAAAAATGATGTAAATTCGTGTTCAATAGCTTAAGATTTACATTATAATTTAATATCATTGAGTGTCATAATAAATATATATATATATATATATAATTATTTTTATCAAAAGTAATCAAACAAGGCTGTGATAGCACATATTTCAGCAAATAAACAGATTTTGAATACATTGAAACAACACCATGTTAATATTTTTAATCCATGCAATTCGCACAGTATATATTATAATATCATGTTTTATACAGTGTGAAATTATAATGTATGCACACGATGACAGTAGTCCTTGTGAAAAAAAAAAACCCCCGGTGAAGGTATATACACAAACACACACCTACAGCTTACCGGTTGGTACACACACACAAAATCACATCGTACGTATTATGTAGTGTTGGCGCTTTAGTGGTGGTGTAGTATTACGAAAATACCCGGAAAACGATGGTCAAACGTTGCGCGGGGTGCTGATGTTTACTTGGGCGATAAATCCTTATTGTTAAACGTTGATAGGCATGACTATGACTTATGACTTTACGTCCCCGCACACGTAAAATAACAGTACCGACAGATGACAGTTAATTGACATTATCAACGGAACTTAGGGACGGTAGGCGGATGAGCATACCGTCACGACCAGTCTTAATCAACTTTGCCGCATCGTTCCGGCGATTTGACCGGTCGGTAAAAACAACTGAAAAACACTCGTACAATAAACGCAATAAGCTGATCGGGGAGGCTCTGCCATTGAGTCCCGTCTACGGGCAGTCAGGTGTGGGCCAAGGGATAACGGGAGTCCTCGTATAACCGCTCGCTGGTAACATTCTCGTTAAGTCAACAGGCCCCGGACGACCGGCGTTGCGTGTGCGAACGTTCGTCTTCGGCAGTAGAGCCGTACGTCGTACACGTTCTCCCGGGTCGTGCGAACCACTGCGCCGAGTCGGAGTAGTGCTCAAACGCAATTTTCCCGTACGTTCAACGCGTTTCCGAGTGATGGAAACGCGACCCTTCGGATCGGCGGACAGGGAACACCCCCGGTCGCGGTATTGTGCCGTGTACCACGTACGACTGTCGAAACAAACCCTTTGCGCTGACAGCCAATGTACATTAACAATACTGTAACGACTCGTTACTCATCCGTAACGTACTGCGAAGAAGTTGGCGGAGGCGCGCAGGAACAGGAACCAGTCGTGTAGTGTTCTACTGCGATGTCGACGTGATGCGACGAGGTAGAAAGAAAAAACCGGTGTTTATATAACATAAAATAGAAAAATAATATGAACACTTAACGGCAACGCGAGTGCACTACGCGGTACCGTTTCGTTGCTATTACGTCGAGTGGTACACGCGCTACGCTATAACCGGTGTCGGGCGAAAGCTAACTTCGGCGCTGTTGTTGCGTTGCTGCCTCCCTTCCTGCGAGTCGCTTTGTGGCCGTTGCACGGGCCCGCGTTTGCGCGACCGTCACTGATGGCCGTTGTCTCTTGTGTATTTTACATGACCAGACGACGACGACGAGGAGGAAACGTCGCCGGTGATCGCGGCGGTGTCCAGCACGGCCGCGCCCACCCAGGGCCTGTCCGTCTCGTCGCTGACGGAAGACTCGGCGGACTACGGGTCGGCCGCGGACGGCGGCGGCACCAGCGATCAGTCGTCCAACGCGAACTACGACGACGGCGTCGCGGACGACGCGTCGTCCGCGTCGTCCTCGTACGCGGACCCGGACGGGCCGCACACCGTCACGCTGCTGTCCCCGGTGCCCGACGACGGCGAGCTGACGGACGGCAACGCGGCCGACGCGGTCGCGTCCCCCGTGCAGCCGGTCGAGTCCAACAGCATAGCGGCCGCGGCCCCGGCGGCCGGCGGATCGACCAGCGACGACGATGACGACGACGACGACGACGACGACGACGACGATGACGACGATGACGATGACGACGACGACGACGATGACGACGACGACTCGTCGGCCGCGGCCACGAGCGGTGGCAGCGGTGGCGATGACGATGATGACGACGACGACGACGATTCGTCCGAGACCAGGACGGTGGCCAAATCTCGAGCACGTAAGTCAACATATAAATTATAATCTATGCATAAATGTCCTCACTGACTTATTCATAATCAACGCGCGTAGCCTATGATTGGGGCCGGATTTAAGGTTGTGGGGACCCCAGGGCCCACATAATATTGAAATATGAGAAAATCTATTATTTTACTAGCGATAAGCTACCCTGATACCCACCCCAACGTCGTGTCCGACGACGACGCCGAGAGGGGGGGAAATGGAAGCTCGGCGCTCGATAGGTCGTTAGTCTCGTCAGAGTATAATTGAGTAATTATTTTTATAATTAATTATTAATGGTAGAAAATTACCAATACCAAAAATCTAGTGATTCGTTTTATCACACACTAATAGCACCACTTGTCAAACTTAAAAAAAAATATAATTTTTTTTTTTTTGCAAATTGCTAGAAAAATTAAAAAAAAAAATCAATCATTTTGTGGAGGCCACAGGGCCTGGGCCCCGTGAACCCTCTCTAAATCCGGCCCTGCCTATGATAGCTAGAAATAAAACTTGAAATTTCCAGGCGTGCAATAAGTTGGTTGAAAATTGTAAGCAATTGAAATGGGCAAAAGTCAACAATTTATATATTTGAATTTTTTTCTCTGGCTGTCATCTTGAGACGTTTTTATTCACACATGGTATTTGTTTAACACGTTGAGAACGTTAACTAATTTACGGGATCAGGTATGAAACGATGAACACGATTTTTCATTGTATGATGAAAATTTAAAAAAAAAAAATTGAACCCTCACATCCGTATAAAAACTATTAAAATAAAAAAAGGAAGAAATAAGAGGGAAAGGATTGAAGTATATCAAAACCTACAGTCGATACGTGTATTCAACCGTGTTCGGTTTGTTCGCGCGCGCGATTCCGATCGGTACGCATATACATGACGTACTATTATTGTGCACATGTATAACGTACCTTTAACTGGTGACCGCATGATTACCACTCGTACCGTACGGGTATACGGTTGTTGTTGAAATGTAATTATTCATGTACGCGGTCAGAGGACTCACTACCAGCCGCGACTATGCCGCATCGAACAAAACGGTATCGATTAAATGTCATTTCCGTATGCACACGCGCCACTATATTGTACCCAAGTCGTATCATATCAATATCGCTGTATCGTCGCCGCACATTCTTCCACCCATCGGTGCATATCTATTTTGTCTTGTTACGTCATAATATCGGCTTCGTTTAGGGGACGAAAAACATTAAGAAAAAATTAATTACTGGTTTTGAAATAGTTTTTGAGCAACAATAATACGTTTTCCTCGAAATATTTAAGTATCTTTCATTTTTTATGGACGTTAAAATGATTAGATTTCGATGTTTGTCTTGTGTTCCTATAATCGATCATTCATGCTTCGAAATCAACCGATTGAATCCGATGGTCATGCATCTTTTTCGGATAGATTTTTCACAAGAAATTATTGTCGTTTCGGTGACAAGAAAACAATTCTTCATCCGTTCACAGCGGTACGTTTAAGATATTACAAATCATTCTCGATCAACAATTTGGCTTTTCGTGTGCTCGAAAATATTTTTATTTCACACCATTTATTAAAAAATATTACTATTGTTGTTATTTCCACTCTAATAATATCGTCCTTCTCCATCGACAAGTTAGTTTTTCAGTCACTCGTTGTATGTGATAAAATACTGGAAAATGCGTTTTTTTTTCTTATCAAATACCATCCATACAATAAAAACAATCTTTTTATCAATCTAAATTTTGGAAAGAACAACCCGTCAAATCATTGAAAACGACACTTTATTTTCACAATGACACGACGTTCCACAAATCGACCTACTGATCCCATCACGAATTGTTCAGTAGTTATTGAACTATTTGCACCGGATAAACCGAAAACAATCTTCAAATTAAATTTCCGACGACAACCCGAAACGCTTAACTGTATTAAAATGTTATGAATCCATGATTTACAAATACACTGTTTACGAAACCGATGATTCCGGTTCGGATAAAGTTCCTTTCACGCATATTCGATCTTAACATATTCGATTTTTAGCGTTCCGAGCCGAGTCCGTCATTTTACCTATTTTCAAACAGTTCATATGTTGTTTTCGAATGAAACAGATTTTGATCTAGTCATTTTGCATTCAAATTTTGATCATGACTGAATGTAGCGATGAAAAATTAATTATAATAGCACTTTTGCTTAATAGTTGCTTTATAATCATAATAGTATCAATAATATAATTATATATGCATTCAGTTCATATAATCATGGATATGTTATTTCGAGTAACATAATAACTATGTTAATTATTAAAACATATAGTTTTACCTGTTTGATTCAATTCTTCTCCGATTCCTTTCCATATTTTTATTTCCAAGTACTGTCACTATGTTTTAAGAATAACTCAAATCATACGATTCAGTATGACTCCTTATTAGTTCAATTAATTTTTCATTGTCTATGATGAAATGTACTTGACAGTTTCGTATGATAAAATGAATATTGATAAAAAAACGTAGGTCAATAGATATCGTAATATGCTGAACACACCAATCGACACGTGTTCATACATGTCCGATCCGGCATCATTCCGTCAAAAACCGACCGAGCTCGGATGAAAATCGGCCACTGACAATATTTTTTTGATCGGATAGAGCTCGAAAAGCTCAGATCGGTCTCGGATCGGACGTGTGTGAACATATGCACTGGAAAACAAAAAATTTATATTTCCGAGTACACGGGTGCCCTGACGGATAGGACTCGAAACGGACCCGGACCGAATATGTCCTTAAGAAACAGCTGCGTTGGCGACAAGATGCAGTAGCCCAAGTAACCGTACGATTTAATTAGTTCTGCACAACGACTCGAAACTTACTCGGTTGTCCCTCGTGAGTTTCTTGCACAAAGATACGAAAATAATTTTGTCAAAAACATGTACACAGTTGACCGATAAAAAGAAAACACCGAATCAATCACTCAATTAAATATCGTATAATGTAATGACGCGTACGTAGATTAATTATGATTATTATTATTTTATTGTAATCCGTTATTCTCCTAACCCGAATGACTCTCACGTCACGCAGTGACTTTTTCAACTCGCCAAGCACGTGAATTTCCTATAAATAAACTAATATTTCCATAGCGAAATGTGTAATATACACTAATTGTAATAATAATTCTAGTGTGATATAATTGCAACTAAATTATGTTCCACGAACGGGACATCGTTAAATTTAACCTAAAACCAATTCTAATAGTATAGTAATCTCGTTCAGAGGTAAAATTACAACATTTCTACTTGGTAGAACCGTTAGCGAGCGCAAACGTTATAACCAGTTATGAACCGACCCAACATATCATGTTCATATTTCGACGGATCTAGATGGCCATCGTCCGACCGCGGTATATTATCCGTACGTACGCAGTTGTAATTACAACTGTTAACTCGTGGTATTATAGTTATAACTTTTCCTTTGAAGGACCTGTTATCGAACACCACGTTTGTGATTTCGTCCTGCGCACGCCGTCTCTCCTATGTATACACAGACGACGTCAAACGCAGGCGCCGTCCGATTTTCACCGCTGTACAATCATATTAATTTCTTTCCTCCACACTATCACACTAGTCGGTTGATAAATGAAAGGCGTTTAATTTTGGTCTCGTGATACTGCGGCCCCCACCGGATCAATGGCGGTATTGTATTAAATGTACGCGATATTGGCCACGGGTACGGTTAAATCAAACGTTTAAGGTTTAAACGGAAATTTTCGACCACGAAACGGCCGAACCGAACGCTATTCCGATAACGTATAGTAGCGTTGAGTTGAGACGAAAAACATCGCGACCGAACGACATGTTTTATGCGTGCACAGCAACGATAACGCCACCGCATGGAAAAACGAGCGATGACTCGGACAAACCATCGTAGAAAGTCACTCTTCGTCTCGTGGATTTCGCGTCGCCTAGTCCGTCTTAGCCGCGGTCTCCCGTCCGCACGCGTTTGCCACGTACCATATCGTGCTATAGACGTGCGCAGGACACGAAAATCCGTCGTGAGATTCCTCTTACGGGACGCGCTTCCGATATATTATTCCGTCACCGCTTCGCACGTGTACACGTTTCTGCGTATATGCTCGAGACGAGCCGGACACGGTGAGGGAAAGATTTGAAAAGAGAAAGAGTCGCACGCACTCGGACACGTGCGCGCGCATATCCGTCTGCATAAATAATTGTTATTACTATTATTATTAATGTCGTCCTTAATCCCCCCGGTGTCCGACAACGGTACTCCAGAAACCTATATCCGGATGCGCGCGCGTAAAGCCACGTAAACCGTAGACGGGGGCCCCCTCCGAAACAGGTTCAAGGATGTGACCTCGATACCGGTCGCGTCGATATGTGTCGACGACCATGTGGGCGTGCCGACGGTCGTCACCAGGATGCGTCACGAATACGAGCACACGTGTACCGCCGCGTAGAAAGCAACCGGTGCACGCGTCCTGTATGTGGTGTGGCGGGTGCGGTGCACGTCCGATGGTATTGTAACGATCGGACGAAAATCGTTTCTCCAGAAAACTGGTACTTTCTAAAACCGACCTGCGGCACCCGAAACCGTCCCCCGGGGAAATTTCTCTCCGCGCATCAACTGCGTACTGTTATTGTTCACAGGTAGTCGTTTTTTTCTTCTTTTTTTCTCTCCACTCCTTCGCTTTCTTCGCCCCGTTTTGCGTCCGAGCGCGCGCAACTTTGAACGCGTTTCGATTCTTTCGCTTCCCTCCGCTACGTATACAATTATTTCTATTATTATACAGGAAAAAAACCGGACGCGGCCCGGGAAACCTGTCCCGTCGAATAGGGATTCGAGCACCGTCACGAACAATAATAATGTTCGTCAAGCTAACCCGAAACCTATCTATAACGAAACGGCTGTGCCGCACGATTCCGTCTTAGGCCACTACGGTTTGTGCCAGCAGGTGCAATGCACATACACGCGCGACAAGT